CGCCTTATCCGTCCTATAGGGCCGTGCTCAGGAAACCGGACTCTCCCGTTCCCCCACATTGCTTTGCCTCCGGGAATAATACATCTGAATGCACAGGAGGCCACGGGTCTGGGTGCAGAGGCATGATGGAGGCGCCTGGGCAGAGCCTTGGGAACCCCCCCGGCTTGGGCGCCCCCCCGCCCACCCTGGAGACTCCGGGAGCCTCGTGTCCACCTGGCGCCCTGGGTTCGACCCTCAGCTCTTCTCTGCCTTCCCCTGCACTGCCTCTGCTTCCTCTGAGTTGTGCGTGCGTGAGGTGATACTTGGTTGAATGTGGGATGCAGGTTTCCTGCATGAGCCAGCAGCCTCCCGTTAGGTCTCAGTGGGCCTTTCCTGCAGAATGGGCCCTCCCTCCTGCGGGATGTGTGTGTGTGTGTGTGTGTGTGTGTATGTGACAACAGTCCTCACATTTGGAATGTGAACTTTCACCAGAACCCCTTTCCAGAATGTTACATCCCCTCTGGGATCCATCCTCCTCGGGATCCCCAAGTCTTTCTGGGCCCGCTTCTCCTGGAGTAATTCTCCCGGCTGGAGGGAGGGGTTGTTCTGGCTGTACCTGTGCACTGGATCGCCCCTGCTGGTCTTCTGTGGACCAGTTCTCTCCAGTGCTCAGAGCCTAATCTCCTCTTCCCCTTCTCTCACTTGCCCATCTCAGCAGGCCTCAGGACCTTGGCTTCGGCCCTGGAGAAGCAAGAGGGGAGTGTTGTCCTGCTTCCATCGTGACATTCCAGGGACAGCTGGGACAACAAAAAGAAAAAACCCTTGGGGTCCAGAGAAAGACAAAAACCAAATAATAAAACCAACACTACAGCCAGCCTGTCCTGTTCTAGATTTAAAAATTACTGAAACGTTGACAAATTCCTGGACCAAATGCCATGTGACCCCTGATCCTGACAGAACTGATCACTAAGGTCCAAGCCATGTCTGGACTTAAGGCCATGACCCTTGCACAGAGAACTATTTGGCTCTCACCAGGAACAGGTATTAAAGAAATCATACGTGGACATCACGTGGATCAAGCTCTTGTACTGGCTAAAGCAGGCCGGGCTAAATATCAAAATGGAGTCACTCATGCTAAACTTCCACATCACCATGGGAAACCAAGCTGTTCTTCTGACTTTTGAGAAGTCAAGATCAGAGACTTACAGCCAAATTGTGCAAACAGAAGTGCCCTGTCTCTTAACCTTCCATGCACAAGTTCACCCGAAGTGACCTGAGCCTCACTGATCCGCTTTTTATTATTCTGCCTCCATGTCCCCACTCATAAGGAACAAGACTTCGCAACAGCTAATCAGCTTGTTATTTGTTCTGCTTTCTTCTTTCTGATCAGCTCACTCGAACACTTGTTCTATTTCATGGGATGAAGCAGATTTTTAATTCTAAAACCAAAACTGAAGCCATTTAAGGTTGTTAAACTAATTGTTGTCATTTTGCCCTTTGACAGGACCAACTGCAAACCTAGTCATCTTAGGTCATGGTGTTTCCTTCACTTTACTTTTTTGATACTGGGAATTGAACTCACGACCTCATGCTCGCCAGGCAGGTGCTACGCTGCTGAGCTACATCCCCAGCTTTGGATGCTGACCATGCTTGCTTGGTGGCCTGGGAGCTCATACCCACCCAGCACTGCACTTGACCTCCCTCCAAATTCAATACCATGACCCTCTGGCTCCCATGCCCTCTGCTCCCTGGACCTCCACCCCACTGCTTCTGGTTGGTCCACATTCGTGTCTGGTGGAGTCAGACTCAACTGAGCCAGAGGGCTGAGGGCCCCGCGGATGGATGGGCTAAGCGGGAGGCCTCAGGGACAGCGAGAGAAGAGTTTGAGGCCGGAGGGGTGGGGCTGGGCCACCCACCATCCTCCTTGCCCACCATCATTGCAGAGAAGGCCACCAGGGACTGGATGAGGTCGGGTGGGGGGTCCTCCCCTAGAGCTCTGGGGCAGCTCAGCTTGCTTTCAGAGTCCTGCCCCTAGAAGTGTGAGCAGGTCACAGTGTTGCTTTAAGCCAGTTACAGCAGCCACAGGAACTAACGCTGCCTACCCAGGGAGGCAGCTGGCCCGTGTGTCCAGGGAGTGGCCTGCATACTCAGCCACCCCGGGGTCAGTAGCGTGGGAGGCCCCGTGAGGCGAGTGCCCTCATGATCCTCAAAGGTGGGGATCAGGGTATGAGGGTCCTCAAACTTCCAAAAGTCACCAGGAGGTGGGGCTGGAACCCAGCTGCCTGCTGGATGCCTGAGGGCCACTCACGAAACCCCCTGTAGGGCTTAGCCTGGACCCCAGGGGCCCCATGGATGGAATGTAGGGGCTCAGTGACTGGGATAAATAAGACACTGACACTAGGTTGAAATGTAGCTCTGCTTCTATTTGTAGAGGAGGACAAACCCCAGCACCACGAGACTGAAGGGGGCAGTATTTCCAGATCCCTGAGCAGCAGTTTAGAGAGCCGAGCTTCACCTGTGCCTATCATTAGTTTGAACTCACTGTTGTCGCTGGTCACTGCTTGGAGCTGGTTCTCTGGAGGCCTGAATACAGAAGCACCTGGCTTGATCTTTTTCTTTTTTTTTTTTTTTTTTTTAGTACTGGGGATTGAACCCAGACAGCTGCGTCCCCAACCTTTTTTAAAGCTTTTGTTTTTGTTTTCTGCAACAGGGTCTTGCCAACACGCCCAGCCTAGGTTCACATTTACCACCCTCCTTCCACTCATGGCACTGTCACCAGATACTCGGACCACAGGGGACGCCGGCCAGCCCCCTCCTGCCCCCGCCACCGCAGTCAGACAGCACGAGAGGTCTGGTCTGCCCGGACGGCCGCAGCGAGCAGCCTGCTTTCCCGCCGCGTGATGACTGGGAGGTCACCTGTCTCGGCTCTCTGCCTGCCAGTGAGTCTGTCTCTATCTAGTCAGGCTTAAGGACCCTCCCTGGGGTGCCTTCCCCTCCCTCACCCTAACTGAGCTATGTGGTCACCCAACACTGAGATTACCGTCTGCATAAGTCTCGTCCCCCATGAGACTCTGACGGCCCCGGGTCCAGACCTGAAGGACAGGACCTGCCCTGCTCTTACCACCTTCACACCCACACCAAACTCTCCAGTGAAGGACCGGCCACTCCCAAGGGCTCCCTGAAGTACGCGGAGTGGGCTGAGGTGGGACCTGGCAGGGATGGGGTGAGGAGCGCGTTGCAAGATTCTGGGCGCCCACAAGGGGGACAGGAGAGGTCAGCCCTTGCGCCGTGTGCAGTAGCTTGGTCACACGGCGTCCCCTGCTCCCTGCCCCCACAGAGGCGCACCGCTGGGTCCCTCCCTTGCACACATGGACTTGGACTTCTCATTTACAGTTTACACCAAGCTCAGCTCCTGCCCACCAGCACGTACAGGGTCAGAGGAGAGAGCAGAACCTTGCCTCAGAAGTGGAGAAGGCTAGGGGCTGGGGATTTAGCTCAGCGGCAAAAGCGCCTGCCTGGCAAGCGCAAGGTCGTGAGTTCGGTTCCCGGTACCGGAGAAAAACCA